GGTGTGTGACATTCCCCCTGTACAGGTGTGTGACATGTCCCCTGTACAGGTGTGTGATGTGTGTGACGTGCCCCGGGCTCGGTCCCCTCCCGGCCCGGCCCCTTTAAGTGAGGCCCCGCCTTCCGCCGCGCGAGCGCTCCCCCCCTGCCTTTCCCCGCCGCCCATTGGCCGAGCGGCGTTGAGGCCCCGCCCCCCGGCGCCGCCAGCCAATGGGAGGAGCGCTGGGTGAGCCCGTGGCCAGGTCGGTGAGAGGCCGATGGCGGCGGGTCCGTGAGGGGGGCGCGGGGCCGGGGGAGAGGGGCGGGAATGGGGACACGCTGAGGGCAGCGGGGACACTCTGGGGGGACCAGGACTCCTGGGGGGACCGGGAGCCCCCTTAAGTGCTGAGGGGAGCAGAGTCCTCTGAGGGGCGCGGGGACCCCTGAAGTGCGGAGGGGAGCCGGGCACTCTGAAGGAATGGGGAGGATCGGGGACCCCTGAGGGGATGGGGGGGATCGGGGTCCCTTGAAGGGCTGAGGATATCGGGACCCCCTGAAGTGCTGAGCCGGTCGGGGTCCCCTGAGGCGCTGGGGGAGCTCGGGACCCCCTGAGGGGCTCGTGGAAGAGTTTGTCCCTCCCTGGGGCGGGCGGTGTGTGAGGGGAGGCCGAGGTGTGCGGTCCTGGATCACCCGGCACAGCCGAGCCCCAGCTGTGGGTGCCCTGCCCGGTGCTAATTAGTGCCATTAAATGGTCGTGGTTTCACCTGAAGAATCCATTACGGGTAGGGGGAGAATATTAAGGTCGATAAGGTTCCATGAGAATGCGAGGTTTTCTTATCTGTACCCGGCTCTGAGAACAAATTGTTTGTGGAGCTGAGGTTGAAGAAAACAAAAAATAACAAGTTGCAGCTGCAGGCTGAGCAATAATTAAAATGCTTGGGCAGGTTCTTGTCTTTATGTAGCAAAATGGCCTTGTCAGTCAGGTTGAAGTTAAGTGTAGCTTGAGCTGTCCTTATTAAAAAAAAAAACAAACAACAACAAACAAACAACAAAACCAACCAAAAGTACACTTCCAAGAAATTAAAATGTGGGTTCTCAAAGTGTAGACAACTAAGGACTTCAGGAAAAGTGACTTAAAGGATAATTTAGTTGAGTGTTTTGGTAGGAGATCTGATATGTTCCATGGATTTTTTGACCATAATTAAAGACACTTCGCTCAAAGTGACTCTCTTGCTTTTTAAATGAAATTGTAGAAAGTGTCTTTTAAAATGTGCAAGGTGGTTTTATGAGGTGTTTTGTGCACCGGTAGACAAAAGAAGAAAAGGTTGGGAAATAATCTACTGTAACAATAAAAAAATTATATACTACTACTATGATAATAATAATAAATAATCTACTATAATAGTATATTGCTACAGTTTGTACATAACTTTTTTGATATTACTGTTAGAATGGCACTTTTATCCTTGGACAGAGGAAAGGATTGTGTGCTTTTTGTGCATCCTCTGAATCTCACATGCTGAGAACTGGACACTGGTACTGAGGGAATTAAAAACGTCTGGTTTTTGTTCCAGGTGCTGGTGTGGAAGATGAGGCTGAGTGAGAGCGGGACAAGATCCTTCCAGGCTGCTGTCACAGTCCACAAATACCCGGGCAGGCAGGTCTATGTGTTTCCTGATGGCCCATCCGACTCGGAGGAGTCCTCGGAGGAGGAGGAGCTCAACGTCATGGAATTGCGGCCCAGGGGGAAGGAGCAGCAGCGGGGCAGCACTTCCCGGGCCAGGCCTGGAGACGTGGTGCTCCTGGAGCGGGAGCTCACCGAGGGTGACAGCCTGAACAAGCTGGCCCTGCAGTACGGCTGTAAAGTAAGAGCCTTCTCTGGGTGGGGTTGGCACTTCAGAGGTATTCCACGTGTACCTTACTTTCCAGAGCTGTCCTGGTATCCGAGAGTTTTGATGCTGAAAATACACTGTGTTTTTCATGAATGGTCAATATCTGGGTGAAACTGGAGAAAGGCAAAAAAATCCCAGACAGACACAAAAAAAAGAGTTGTTCAGCCAACAGTTGAGGAGGGTGTCTCAGCCTCACACCCTGCCTGACCTGCTTTCCTGTTTAATTTGAGTGACTAAGTGCAGGTTGTACTCACTCATTTAAGTGAGGGCAAACATTAGGAAGCTGAGCTCAGAAATGAGGGTCAGGGCTCTGCTCTCAAGGAACATTTAAGAGTTTTTGCAGCAAATAAAGCAGTACAAAGAAACACCACTGTGATAGGTCTGCCTTGGGGTAGGATTTGGGGTTGTTCTTTGAAAGGTATCAGTTTGCATGTTACAAGGAAGGTCTGAGTGTGAGGGGTGGAGTTGGAGAGGTGCCAGAGTTCAGGTCCCAGAGTCCGGGTGCTGTCTGTGTGTGGGTTTTGATTGTTTGCTGTAGTGCCCAAATTGTGCTCCATCAGCTGCCTGGGGGCAGGAGGGAGGGGTGGGCAGGGTGAGCTGTCTCTGCGTTGGAACACTCTGCACAGTAGCTTCTCTTTGTTCCAAAGGAGGGCACTTCATTGAAAAACTGTTGAAAAGTTTAATTACCTGCTCTGAAGACGAGAAGTCCCCTGTTGTTTAGCAGTTGGAGCTGTATTTTTAGAGCCTCCTTTATCTGCAGGCTGGGCTGTGATTAGAAAGTTCCATGGTGCAGACAACTGGACAGTGACTGGAGTGGGATAATGATACAGCTCTGGCTCTGCTGCTGCACTGCTGTTGCAGTTGGTCTTGCTTAACCACACAGCAGCTGTTGGTGCAGCTGAGGCAAGAGGGCTTAGAGGGATTGCAACAATTCCTCCCCTCCCATTCCCTTAGAGACAAACACAAAACAAAAAAGGCACCCGTGTAGGTTCTGCTGCGGAGCCTGGTGTGTGCGGAGAAGAGTCTGGGAGGACTTGAATAGGCCTGGATTGGTACCAGGAGAGCCTGGGAAGGCAGAGCTGCGGCTTTGGTTGGCTCTGGAGCTGTGACTGAGCACTCCTCTCTCAGCAGCAGTTGTGTCACTGCTGCCTGGGCACAATCACAGCAGTTTGTGAGCTCAGAGGAGGAAGGTTCTGAACAGCTCTTTGGTTTATGGCATGAAAAGTCCTGCTGTGCCCTCTGGCACTGTGACTCTGAGGAGTCAGTCCTGTCCCTGCTGTGGCTGCTCATCTACCTCTGCTGCCCCATTCCTGCCCCACCTGAAGGCTGCTGGGCCCAGCCAGGGGGAAGGTAAGCTGGTAGGGAGGGACCAGGTAGTCAAGTGTTCTCCTCCTTCAGGAAAAAAACTGTCCTGCTGCCTCCCTTCCTTCCAGAAAGGGCATTCCTGACTAGTTCCAGTTAAATTGGAGAGGTACAGAAATCTTTATTATAGGAGATTTGTGTATTTGTCTGTTTACAGGCACTGATCAGTTTTCCTGCATTTTGTTTTGTTTGCACAATTAACCAGCTCCTGAAAGGCCCCCAGGACAGCAGTGAGGAAGAACTGTAGCCACAAATACATATGCAAATGAGTTTAAAAAATCCAGGACGAGCTTCTCCTTGAAATCAATGAGAACTTGACATTGGTTTCAGAATCTGCTTGGGGAGGGGGTATTAAGACAGTGCAACAAACGGCTCTGTGTTTGTGTGTGCCACAGATAACTTGGCAGAGATGGAAAGCCCTTCAAAATCCTCATTTTTACTCTTGACCATTTATAGTCCTGGCTTGCTTTTGGCATTGTTCATAGCTGGGACAAGAGCAGCAAACTGCAGCCAAAAAATGAGTACAGAAAATAAACCTAAATGGCTTGTGCAGCCCAGGCTCTCGATCGCTTCCCATCAGCTCTGTTTGTTGTTTCTGTGTGAGTGCTGCTCCACTTTCTGTTTCTAGAGCCTCAGCACAGCACTGCAGTGTTTGATTGCAGACACCACGGGGGATATTTACTGTCCCACTAATTTGTTTTCATTGGAGGAAACCCAGAAATCGAAGCAGCACCTCAGTTCGGAGGCTTTGGGTGAGATTGTTGTTTCATAACTCAGAAGTTGTGCAGGGTTTAAGTGCAGAGGTTACGCTGGGGCAGCCTGTGAGGAGCCTGAACCCAGCAAAGGAGGATTCCTTTTGCCTCAGGGGCCCCAGATCAGGACCTGCATTAAATGGGCCATTTTCAGAGTTCTCAAGCTTTGCAGAGTAAGTGTGAGATTGAGGCATCCATCTCATCTCTGCCTTGGAGCAGAGTGTTTGGGAAGTGAAGTGCTGGTTTTGTTTTAGGTCCTCAGTTTCCTTGGCAGCCTCATGTGAGTGCCCAGTGAATGCAGGTCATACTGTGATTTCTGAAAGAGCAAGGCACAGTCCCTGCACTGTGTCTCCTTGGTGTGATGTAGCAGAGGTGGTTTAGCTGTTTATGTTGTCTTTCTCTTTGGCTTGGGGTCTTGCTGATTTGGTTTGTGTCCTCAGCCTTTCCCTCAAGGTTCTTTCACATCTCCTTGGCTGCTGTGGAGAGCACCTTGCACATGTTGACATCCTGTTTGTCTTCTTTGACAGAGGGTTTAGGGCAGCTGAGAAGTTGCTGCACTTCCTGGGGGCTGTGAGTGGGCACTGTGTTAATTAAGCATCTTCTTTTATCTAATGTTAAATTAAGAGGCACTGTCTTGCCTTTGTCTTTGCTTTGGGACTGGCCCTGTGACTGGCTCTGCACCTGTGGCTCGTTCTTTCTTGCTCTTCCCACTGCTGGGTGGGAATATGTGTCACAGAGGGGAACTCTGCCCAGAAACCACCAAAGGTCACCTCAGGGCACAGGGGTGTTGCCCCTCAGCAGGAGCACTGAGCAGCTGTGCAGGAATGAGCTGGATCAGCTGCTGTCCTGCACGGGAGAGGTGGTGCCTGGGCACAGGATGCTCGTGCCCGTGTGGGAGGCGCTCACCTGTGCTCCAGGTGTGACCTTGCTTTCAGAGATGGAGCTCTCTTCACTCTGAAAGCACTTTCTGAGCTGGAGGGTTTTGACTGCTGGTGCTGATGTTGTCCTCTCACCTTAAACACTGGTGTGTAAAGGATCTTACAAAGGTTCTTCTTGCCTTAACTTGGATTAGAAGGTAAGTGAGGGAAGGCAAAGAAAGCAAAGGGAAGGAAGAACAGTAACAAGCAAAGTACAGCAGATACAAGAGCACTAGAGGAAGGTATAGACTGGTTTAACAGGGGACTGGCTTTATCCTGCAGGGCCTGGAGCCCCTCAGCTGGAATCTCTGCAGAACCCCAAGCCAGTTGCTTTTATTCTCTGACAGCTGTTTGATGGCTCTGGAGCTGCTTCCTGCTTTGTTCCCGGGTTGTCCTACACTAACGTCGGTGTCCTTTGGGTTCCGTAGGTCGCCGACATCAAACGGGTCAACAACTTCATCCGGGAGCAGGACCTGTACGCGCTGAAGTCCATCAAGATCCCGGTGAAGGCGCACGGGCTGCTCACGGAGAGCAGGCGGGAGCTGCGGCCGCTCCCTCCGGCCCAGCCCGGGCTGACCCGCGTGGAGCTGCCGGAGCCCGACCCCGGCACGGGCGGATCCACCAACGGCCAAAACCTCAGCGACTACTTCAGGGACATCGACCAGAGCATCCAGGACGCCGTGCAGGTGGAGGTGCAGCTGAACACAGAGTACTGTGGGGAGCCACTGGAGAGGCCTCTGCCCGAGCCAGGGAAGCGGGACCCCGGGAACGGTGCAGACTGCGGGATCCAGTGGTGGAACGCCGTGTTTATCATGCTCCTGATAGGAATTGTGCTGCCAGTATTTTATATCATCTATTTTAAAACACAAGGCCTGGTGGCCCACACCTCCAACACAACAGTAACCTCAAACGTTTCAACAGCTGGATTGGAAGGGAAATTACCACAAAGCTCAGTGGTAGGAAAAAAGTCCTAAAGGGAAATGGGAGACCTCTCCAGCCTCTCCAACAGTGGTGCCCACACTCTCGTGACTGACCCAAGTGCATCTAAGGGGATATAATGATACAGATAATTTTTATTTTTATAAGTATCTGATGATGGAATCCTGAACTTGACTGAAAGTGAGGTGATGTGATTGTGATGGAAAAATAAGGATGATTTGTTGCTTATGAAGGTCACTGAGCAGGTGGGTTAAGTGTGGGGAACTGCTGAGGGAAGGTACTTTGTAGCAATTTATTGTGATTGCTTCAGGTATTTCTTAATGACATGTCTGAAAGCAAATCCTTTGCTGCTGAGCTAGAGAGTGCAGTATTAATGTGCTTGGAAAGTTGGGGGTTGTTTGCATTTTTAGGAAACACTTTTTGCTGGAGCAGAAGGGGGGGCTCTTTTGCTCAGAGCTGTCATTTTTATCTCTTGCAGACCATGGTGGTTTTGGCTTAACCCTAAACTGATGGCTCTAAGCTGGGTGTGCCAGCCCCTGAGCAAACCTTTGAGCTGGGTTTATTAGGTTGATGTCAGGCCTGTCCCCTGGAGGAGCCCAGACCTCTCCCCTCCGTGAAATCCTCCAGAGATGGGATCTCGGTGCCGGATCCGCGCTGTCCCCAGGGTGCAGCTGGAGCCAGCCCTGCCACTGCAGGTGGGCAGAGGGTGTTGGAGGAGGATGTGAGAGCTGGGAGAGGAGTTGTACACTCCTCTCAAGGGCTCTTTTGTTGGCAGGGGGGGTCTAGTCAGTATTACTTGTTAAAAATGCTAATAATGGTCTATAATGGTGCATCTCAGACACCCGAGGTCAGTCACAGACGATTTCCCTGTGTGCAGATTTCATGGGAGCAAAGTGCCAAGTCCCGTGCAGGGTGCAAGGTCCAGGGCAGAAGTCCAAAGCACAGAGAGAAGGGTAGAGCCTTTCTAGGACAGGACTGAGCTGATTGTGAAGCGTTCTGTGACCTGCAGACGTGCATTAAAAAGCTGCTGAGGGTGTAGGGAAGAGTGGTGAAGGTTCAGAGGGCAGAGGGCTGTGCCCTTCAGGGTGAGACACTGAACACTGCCTGCTGGGAGGAGCAGCGAGGGAGGCTTTGGGAGCTTTGCTGCAGAGCAGAATTGGCCTCAGAAATTGGATTTGTCAACTCCAGGCCTGCAGGCAGAGGTAATTCAAGGCATTCCTGGAACCAAACACTAAGGGATTTCCACCCCACACAAGCAGAACTGTGTGATACAGTTACAATGACAACCTGTGTTTCCTGCAGCTCTCAAAAAAAGTGCTCAGGAAAGCCTGAGGGAACCTAATTTTGTAAATGAGGACTCTAAAGTATCTTATACTGAAAAAAACCTTGTATTTTTCTTCTGTGAAGAGCTGTATCTCTTTGTTCTGGGGGTGGGGGGGATTTCTTACATTTTTAAATAAAGCCACATGAAATAATAAAAGCACAAGGGGCACAACTTGTGCTTTTTTTTTTTATTCCCACACTGCACTGTGCTGAGCACCTGCCCCAGGACAATCCCTCAGCACTCTGCAGGAACCAGGAGTGGGAGCAGCAGAAGGAAACGTGAGTGTCCCAAGGGGCAGGAGGATGGGCTGGACCCAGGTTTTTCTTTTTGTTATAATGTTCTTACCAAGCATTAACTTTTTGACACAAGTGTAGTAACAAGTGTGTGTATACATCCCAAAAAAATCCCTGTTGATTAAAATCCTCTTCACTGCAGTTTAAAAGCACAACCTGATGAGTGAAGTGGACACCTGGAGGGGGCACAGACACGCCAGACAGGACCACGTGCTCTGCAAACACGAGAGAGGCCGGAGTACACAGTAAAAGCCAGTATCTTTACTTTAGTGAATGCAGGATACAAATATTTTACAACAACCTCTAGCATTTTTTCTTAACCATTTGATAAAAAGTTCACTAGAATATTTATTGTATATTGAAGAAAAAACAACACATTCAGGGAAAAAAATTGAGATTAACTTATTTTTTTTTTTCTTAAAAGATTCGTCTCAAGGATGGCAACAAAGTCCAGCTTGTGCCGCCAAACGGCTTATCAGCATTAAACTGTGAACAGCTTCTTTGTGAACTGTTGACTACAAACATTTACCAAATACATAAATCTCTTTTAAAAAAGCCATTTTAAATATAGCAAAGCAGTGTTTCTCTTGCACAGCAAAGTGAAGAAAGGTTCTACTAAGATTTAAATGTTTACATTGGTTAAGTCTTTCTTTCACATTCGGATTTCACTTCTGCCCAGGATCAATTGTTAGGAGTTGTTTTGTTCCTTATTTACTATGTATTTCTTGTGCGCACAGTAACTCGGAGTTCCTGCTGCATTAGTGTCCTTGAGGGGAGGGCAAGGCTAAAGCAGTTCTGACGAGTCCCTGACAACGTGGCGTTCCCAAAACTACCGTGAGAGCTCGAGGATGGAGGTGATTTGTCACAACAGAGCTAAAAATCTTAAATCACTCAGACCTGACTGGGTTCAGCCCAGGGTTGGATCCACTTGCACTTCAGTCAGCAGAGAGAGAATTTTAAAAAAGTATTACTATCTTTTTTTTTTCACCTGTTGAAATATCTGTGCTATGTCATAATTATTTTTTTTTTTATAAAACATTTTTTTTTTTTACAATTTCTAAAAAAGTATGTTCCAAAGTGAGTTACTTGTTACTAAAAACCAGGATTCCCATTTCCTCGATGGCAGGAGCTGCTCCCCAGGACGGGAGGGCTGTGGAAGGACATTTCTGCTGTGGCTGGGGCAGCACAGGACCAGTCCCCAGCCCGGCTCTTTAGAACTGATTCTTTAATACTCTTTTTTAATTCATTGGTGCAATTTCAATACAAACTCTAACCCTTGTGTAGCTTTGTCTTTAAGAAAACAGTAATAGTACTGTTTAAAAACCTGCATAGAAATAAAGACTATTGAGATACAGTCAGCAAAGCCATCTGATAAGGCACACAAGAAAATAGACAGTAAATGTGAATGCAGAACTCCCACTCGGATGTACAGCAAAGGTCATACAGGTGCATAAATCATGGAACTCACACCACTGGTCGGAGCAGCAAAAGGTGCAGGGGCTGGCAAGTGAATTTGGTCACCAGGGGACTGGGGAACGAGTCCCCTTTGCCCTCGTGCCCTGTCAGCCAAGTACCATCCCAAACCAATGGGATCCAGGTCCAAGAAGGGGCGGGAAGGGACGGGAGCCTGGGCGGGTTCCCCGCTGCCACGACAGGGGATGGGCTGGAGGCCACAGGTCCCACCTGCTCCCCCTCTCCCAGCTCCTGTCACAGCATGGGGGGACTTGGAATTACACAGAAATAAAACCCAAGCAAAGGTTTAATAAATATCAGGGATAACCACGAAGTTTGGATAATCCCACTGCAGTTTCCTCCCCAGCACCAGCACTGCCAGCCTGTCGGTGACCGGGACAGGCGGGATCACGGCCCCAAATCCAACACCAAACCTGCTCCCAGCCCGGGCTCACAGCACAAGGGGGCTCTGGATCCCTCCTTCTATTTCTTGGAAGCAGCAAATTTTTCCCAAACCACTTGCCAACTCACAAAACCTTTTGTGCTCCTCTGATATGTGTCATTTCCCTATCATGAGAAATTAGGTCAAGTTTTTCCACTGGTTTTTTTTTTTTCTCCCTCCTCAGAAGAGGCAGCTTTAAAATGATGCCTTAAAATGTGTTGTAACAGATTTTTTATATTTATGCAGGATGAACTTAACACCGGATTTTTTTTTTTTTGCCACTTTGCTATTTATATACATATATATAAAATGTATAATGAAGCTTAACCATACAGCACAGAGATTACAACTGAACGGCACACATTCACCACCAGTGAGGGGGCCAACCCCTTTATACACCCTCTGAAAAATCTGGATAATAATATTAATAATAATTAAAATCCAAAGAAAGTACAGTATATTTAACAAAATAGTAAATATTAAACAGTGAATACTCTACTTAATAAGGACCTCGCCTTGTTTCAAGTTGGCGTCAATCCACAAAAATATACTTTTTAATCTGGTGACCGTACAATACATAGGTACTTACACCAAAGGTGATAATATATTTAGGATGCTATATACACAAAGAGTTTGGCTCAAATTTAAATTTACATATAAGTGTTCATGGCTTATTTTTCCCCCAAGGTTCCGCCTGCAAGTTTTTCCTTTTCATCTTTGAAAGCAAAAACTAGAAAGTCAAAATAAGATAAAACTATACTCTACAAAAAAGCTACAACATACAGCTTTGGCTTATATAAATAATTCATAGCAGAATGTGTTCAAAAGTACTGTATATAACTTTATATATAGTCTTCAATTCATTAGGGTATTGTTTTCTTTAATATAAAATATACATGAGCTAAAATCCGTTTCTATATTTTTCAAAGGTATGAACGTAAAAACAAATTTGTCAAACATATTCCAATTATAACTTAATATATTAATTTTATTTTGTTAATGTTCTATTTTCTAGGCTAATATTTTCTGAATATTTCATGCGAGTTCTCTATGTCTTTCACTCATTAAAAAAATCACTTCTTTGACCCAATACACTATTTTTTTATTTTTTTTTTTGCACGTGCAAAACAGGGTTTTTGTTTTTTATGTTTTTTTTATTTCTTATAGCATCAGCCCTTCTCCATGCACCCTCTGCAATAGAGACCCATGCCAGGTTGGGTAATAAAAGGTCAGTTTATGTACAGTATTGCTTTCTTCTTCCTGCTTTTCTACTGCTCTGCTGCTACAAAGCAATTATTTCTTAACTACGAGTAACCATGAGCTGAACTAACACACAGGGACGTACTACAGGCGAGCCCTGGGCTGTGGAGGAGGAGGAGACACTGCGGGGACAACGCTCTGCCAACGGCTGGGGCCAAACACAACTCCAGGGAAGTGCCAGACTAGATCAAACCTACGGGATTGTTCTGCTTTACCAGGGGACATCTGCAGCTATACACGAGTTTCGTAAGTGCCTGATGATCGGTGTATGCTACACACACTAGCACATATATATGCATGTGGAGATATATATATGCACGTATGTATATACATATAAATATACTTAGTCACGTCCTTATTTATAAATGTGGATATGTCAGGACAGTTCGTGTTGGGGACACCGGGCTGCCGGGGGGTTTATGTCACCCACGTGTCCATCCTCATTCGTTTTACCGACGGGCTCTCCCGGTCCTCGGCGTTGGGCGGCCGCCCCAGCACCACGGGCGAGTGGAAGTCGCTCCGGGGATCTTCCCGGTCGCTGCCGTCGTAGGAGCTGCTGGAGCTGCTCAGGCTGTCGACCGGGGAGCGCCCCAGCTCCTGCCGCGACGGCGGCGGCGCCGGCGGCTGCTGCGGCTGCTGCGGGGGGAACCCCGAGGGGGTGACGCGGTCCCGGGGAGGGGAGATGGGTTCAGACTTGATGTTGATGTTTTGGTTGGTGTTGATGGAGAGATTGGAACCCTGAGATATCTGGCTGCCAGTGCTGGGGAGAGAGCATTGAAAGGCACAAGTGAGGAAACACGGAAGGGAAGCGACAATTCCCGTGTGTCTGAGGGGATCTTGGGGCTCAGCACCCTCCAAATGCACCTCACTGAAGTCAGAACAACGCTGAAAAAAAAGGTCTGAGCTGCATTTACAGAAGTTCAGAACGCACAGAGATACTTCCCACTGCCAAACATTCCAGTTCACCAGCAGGTGCCTCCCTGGTAAGAAGCTGGGCCTGCAGGGACACCTCACCGAGGCCTGAGGTGACCAAAGGGACAAACACCCCGACACGGGAAGGTTTGGCAGCACAGACAAGAAGGCAAAATGGGTCAAATGCTGAACATCCCTGTGCAGATGATGCAGATGGAAGAGGCAGAAGCCCCCCAGGGCCACGGTACTTACACAAGGGAGCTGAGGGCCGCGGGACCGAGGTGGTGCTGCTGCCAGGCAGACACCTGCCCCAAGGACAGCATTCCTGGGGAGTTAAACCCCTGCAGGGCAGACAGGTCTGCACTGGTCAAGGAGTAATCTAAGGGAAAACAAACAAGAGTGATTTATAGAGTTATATATATACACACATGAATAAATACACAAGAGTTTATGTGTTACACACACATGCAAAGGCTTTCTGCCCAAAACAAATAAAGGCAATTCCTGATCCACAGGAATCCAAACATGGAAACCGAAGTCTGGGAGAAATCCTCCCAACCTCACAGGGAGCTTAACAGGACAGAAGCCTCCAAATGACAGAGCTTTTCTGCACTCTGCTTTCAGTTCCTATGTGTTGCTCAGAGCTTCTTCCAAACCACGGGTCCAACATATGAATGCATTTTATATATCTAGGTGTGCACCTCACAGTAACACTGGTCACACTCCGAAGGGTTTTGTCTGCAGGGACATTTCAATATGAAACTCTGGGAAGGCAGGACAGGGGTTGGGTGCCCAAGGGCCAAAGGCACTGCCAAGGGACCCCTCAGTGCAGTCCCACTGTCACACATCACACCTCCCCTCCACACACTGTCACTGCCGAATCTCTGACTGAACTGTCATCTCCATATCAAATAAACAAAAGAAACCTCTTTTCTTGAAGTAAAAAACCATCATCAAGTAAAAAACACAACTGAAATGGAGACTGGAAAACACAGTCTATCCCCAACCCAGAGGCAGACCTGGCCAGGTATGTAATTTATGGCCTGGTGTGCTCTGCTCAGCTGTGGGGTTTGAATATTCATTTTAATTCCCAGAATGTTTTAGAACCAGTAACTCAGTTGGTTCTGGCCCTTTTCTGGCCCTTCTCTACAGAGGGAACACTTCTCCAGCAAAGCACAT